CACTGTGATGCACACTCATGAACTTAGATGCATTGATTTATTAGTCAAAGAAATAATGCAAAATGAAATGCCATTTGGAGGAAAACTGCTTTTGTTAGGCAGAGACTTCAGACAAACATTACCAGTCATAGTACGATCTACAAGAACAGAGACGACTAAGGAACGCATAAAAAGTCGTCATCTGTGGTCGAATTTCACCAAAATCAAATTAATCACAAAATATGCTCACTGAAGGACAACATCAATTCAATGACAGGACTCTCAAAGGTGGTGAAGGAACTATGTCAAATGATTATAGGTTGCCATCAGATCTAACTGAAATACCAGAAACCTTTACTGAAATGGAGTCCATTATCACAGCAGTTTATGGGAACCACACTGAAGTAGAAGACTTGGAGTCCCTTGCAAAGAAAATTATTGTAACTCTCAAAAATAAATACACCATGGAATTGAATACTAAAATTATAACTTTGCTGCCTGGTGAAATGAAAGTACTGCAGCTTCTCTGATCACAGATGACTCTGAAAATCAAACTACTTATCCCACTGAATTTTTAAATGTGCAAACACCATCAGGAATCCCACCACATGACTTGCACCTGAAAATTGGTGCTATTGTTATGTTACTCAGAAATATGACCAAAAATGTGACTACGCAATGGAACTTGACTGATAAAAAGAGGATTACACCACAATTTCATACATGCTGAAATAATTACAGGTACTATTGTAGGATAACATGTCAATCAATCCCTCGGATTCATTTGGCTCCATCGGGCACAAAACTACCTTTCATTCTGAAAAGGAGACAATCCCCGCTGCCCCACTACCAAGTCCAGAAAGGGGATATGAGGTAGAAATGAAACAAGGACAGAAGGATCTGGGAGATAATTTAAGGTGTGGAATTTCTCTCTCCTTGTCCCAAACACACACTTCTATTTGGGACAGAAGAAATAAATGCCCTATAGACAAAAGTAAAATTGAAGAGGTGATGCCCAACTTGAAATTGCATGCCTCACTGTACAAAGAGACTCTCAGAACATTGTTTTAAAACTCTGGCTACTGAAAGTGCCCAGATACAATGAGGACTGACACACTAGATGGATCCAAGATGATAATTCCCAAAATAATGAAGTATACATTTCCAAAAAGTGTACAGAGTTTTTAAAAGTGAATTTAGCCTGCACTGTACGAGAGAGACAACAGATTACAGACACAAGAAATCTACTTCTTCTGTGACTTCTAGAAGAAAGTTTCATTCTTACTCTGTTGAAGTTGCTCAACTGCTCCAAAACACCTGTTGGACCAGACATTGCCCACAGGCTCCCCTTCAAACAGGGTACGCTCAAACATCAAAGGAAGACTGGGCTGTGCAGAGTCTCAGAGGAAGACTGAAATTGAGAAATCTGAACAGCCTCACTGAGAATTAGAAAAAAAACAACAAAAAAAACCCCCACATACAATGAATGGGTAGTGGGCTTGGCACAAAAATACATTAATATAGTAAGAAAGGAAAACCAAGAGCTGAGGAAAGCAGTCCAAAAATTAAAAAAAACAACAAAAAACTTGAAAACCTCGCTTGTATGTCTTGAAGCATTCTTATGTCCGTCTACATTTCTTTTCTGAATAAAAGAAAACCTGTTTGTTTACTCATTTACAGCAAAAAGTTTTATTTTCAGGCACTATTTATTGAACCTGGTCTTATAAGCCTTATAACGTGCCAAAAAGTCAACATGAGTTACGATAATATGAAACACCTTCAGCATCTGTTAACTAATAGCAGTGATACAGCTAAAACTGTCCATCTTATTTGGGCAGTTATTAAATATGTATATCTGTCAGCAATGTCTAAATATACCCACTAGTTTCTTCACATTTATGCACATACACAATGTACAAACTATGATAATATAAAAAAAAAATTCATGGAACTTCTAAACTTGCCCACATCCCTGTTCCTAGATCTAGTAGATTTTTGTAAATCCCATTCTAAACTTCTAAGTTTTGGTTCAGGATTTAAGGAAAAGCCAGCAAGGAGGGCTTTACCTGAAAATGATTTTAAATAGAATACATAATTGACATTTAAGAATATGTCAAAATGAAGGTACCACAACTCAAGGTTTCAATAAGATTAATATTTGACCAGCAGAGGGCACTAACCTAACTCCCTCAATACATTAGACGAGATTTATAAGGGTTAGTTTATACACTGACTTGCACAGATTTACTTAACTGTGTTCCTTAGGCTGTTTTAATTATTTAGATGCAAGTTACCACATGGACACTCATTTCAAAATAAAAAGCAGAAGACTAACAGACAAACTGGTTAAAATGAGCCAGTTTTATTCAGATGTAAGTGTTCACACAGAAACTTCCACAGATTTTACTAAGGCAAGCAGTTTTAGGAAACAGATTTAGTTGAGTTACAAGTCACGAGCGGAAATACACCAATTGGGCCTGGGGGGACCCAAGAGCTTCCACACGGACCACAAAACACTGTTATTAAATATGTTACTGAAAATACGTACAGGGATAAATAGTAAACTTTGATAAGCAGTGAACACTTCCCTCTCCCCTTCTTGGTGATGATTGCGACAACTCCTTTAGTCATATTAATACTTTCAAAGGTCTGAGTATTTACACAATTATGAAACTTGCTAAGTATAAAGCAACATTTAACTTTTTCTCCCCAAATTTTAAAACTGATCACTTCTCCTTGAATGACAAGGGAATTTTCTAATTAAATGATGCCTTGCCTACAAGCTTGGATACGCTTTTAGTGTTGTAAGCATGCATGGTGCTTTGGTACACATATAAAAGGTACAGTCGCTGTTCTGAAGGTCCTACAATCTAACATGTTATTTTATAGATATTAGATATAGATATTATTTTTTCCACCTGTTCAGACAGTATCCACTAAAGTAACATTTGGAAGACTACTACTAGATTAAGTAGTTTATGAAGGTAAAACACTGAAGGGGGGGTGGTCTTTAGTACAGCAATGCACAAACATTTTCCCAATTACTGGATCACAAAATAATGTTCAGGTCATCCTGTGCAGTTAGTCTGAAAGCTTTCAAGAATAAAAGCAACATTTTCTAGGAAGATTACTTCCCCTCCACCACCTGGAAAGTAGTTTCATTTTAACATTCTGAACAAATACAGTGTCCTGAGCTGGATACTACCAGTGATAGGGACCAAATAACAGCCACTGGGCTTCTCTCAGTTCTAGTAACATGTATGACATGGATATTTCATATCAGAATTGAGACAAGTCCTGGGTATCTAAGCAAAACTCTGATTTTGCACAATCATGGTAGTTAAGTCATAAGTTTCTATTATGGAGACTTGTTACTTCAGAGACAAGGTCCTTTGGCAAGAATGAGCAGTCACAAATGCCATGCTACTTCTATCCATTTCCTTTATTCTTAGCTTCACACTCTGTACATTTTTAAAGATGATACAAGAAGGGCCGCCCCTGTGTTACCAACCAGATGCTCTTCATCTATGCCCACCAAGTCTCTATTTTTTTTTTTTTAATTTACAACCCTATTACCAAGTCCTACCCTTGCACTTGCGTCTACTGCATTTTATCATGTCAAATTAGATTGGGAACTCTTTGGGGCACAGACTTTTATGCAGTTTTGCATAGAGGTATACCAATATATTGGTCCATATCGGATCGGCACTGATAAAAGGAAAATTGACATTATCAACTATTGACTTTTTTGGCTGATGTAGCTGACAACGTCACCAATAAATGCCGTGCGCATGCACACAGCCACAGCGTGCAATTGGCAGGGAATGCAGCCCAAGAGCTTAGAAAGCACAGTCTAGATGGTAAGTCTGTGGGGGAAGGGACATGGAGGGTTGCAGATCGAGGCCCCCAAAGTGAGAGACAACTGGGATGGAGCAGGCACTGCCCAGCTGGGGCAGTGCACAGGAGAGGCCTGGGCATGGGGAGGCGGAGAGGAGGACAGCTCCTCACAGCTGTGCACACCTCAGGGGAGGCATGGGGGGCAAGTGCCCCTAGATTTGTGTGTGGGACAAGGGCAAGCTGCCCGCAGTGGGCTCAGGGCTAGGGGCTGAGCTGGCTTCTTCCCTGCGAGAGGCCTGGGCTGGGGCTGTGCTTGGGGCAGAGTAGGACAGGCAGCAGTGATGCTGGGAAGAGGGACATGGTGTGGGCTACAGCCACCCCAAATTCACTGTAGCCCACCCTGTAGCCTCCCCCTTCCCCCTCTAGTGCTGCTGCTGGTCTGCCCTGCCCACCCTGAGCACAGCCCAGGCCCCCCACTGAGAAGAGGCCAACACAGCCCTTGGCTCCAAGCCTGCAGTGGGCAGCCCACCCTTATCCTGCACACAAATGCAGGGGGGCACATGCCCCCCATGCCTCTCAGCTCTGCCCCTGCCCTGCCCAGGCAGCCCCAGCCCGCCCTCTCCCCCCACAACAACAGACTCACTGGCTGGGCACTGCTCTCCATGCTGCTAGGCTGCATATCAGCTATTGGATTGGTATCGGTTGATATGGCTGTTTAATAACTGGCCATTGGTATTGGCCAAAAAAATCTTTATCGGTGCATTCCTAGTTTTGCAAAACACAATGCACACAATTTGACTCCAGGGAAGTAAACACAGCATTCCAACTATAGTGTTGTTTCTGATCCTGTGCAGGGAATTGTGTTTATCAAGTATGCTGATCCACTTGAGATTTCTGCCATCATCAGTATTTTCCCTTACAATTAAAAAGGCAGTACTGTTTTACAGAGTTATTAAAAAAAACCCAACCTAAAACAAAACAACTCTCAAATAAATATTTAATAGACTAAAATCTAGGGCCTCAAATCTAGTTTCAAGTGTATCCCACAATGTACTTGAGAGAAGAGAAGAATACTACACTGCCTATTCACAAACATCACAAAAACAGTACCAACAGGAGAGAAAAATCAATCTGCCTCTTGTATTATAAAAACATGTACATGCTGTTACAATGAAACTGTCTACCTCTATTGTAGGATCATATTCATCCACAAAATGATTCTGAATTAGCTGAATTGTCAAGGCGCTCTTGCCTACGCCACCAGCTCCAACAACGACAAGCTTATATTCTGTCATTTTTAGCAGCCCTGGTAAGGAGAAAAGAAATCAAGTGTAAGTAAAACAAAACTTTGTTTCAATTCATTGAGAATAATGCTAGTTTAATAACCATCCCTCAATTCACTTTACACTAGGTATAAAGGAAAAGAAGTTTCCCATCTCTCTTGTCCTCTCTTTCAGATGCACATCCAGAAGGGGATGTTATTTCTATTTCTCAATCAATACACATAAAGATTTAGATCAACAATACTTGCACCTATTGGTTACTGCTGAACTTAAAAACTAGTTATTAATATCATGCATTACATTCTGGTAACAGCTGGACATTTGTTCTTGCAGAGTGAAACATACAAAGTTCCCGCTCATGTTGTGATCAGCTGTTTTTAAAAAAAAGAAATGTTAAGGAATTGGGGGAGATGTTTCCCTGGATTTGAAAAAGATTTATGAATTGGATTAAGTGAGGCTGTTACTTTAAGATTTTCAGCGAGTTCACCAAAGTGAAGTGCTATAAAGAACTGCCTCCACATTTTTTTTTTTTTTTTTTTTTAGAGTTAAGCACAGGAGCTCACCTTGACACCGTTCTCTGGGCAAGCAGCAACATATCACTGCTGATTTGGGGGCTCCTATTCAGTGCAGAGGATTACAAGGCTGCTGGAAGGTAACAACATCCAGGGTCTTACCTGGACTCTCAGGAAAACCCTAAGAGGCCACTAAGAGCCAAGGAGCTGACAAGAGCCAGGGAGGGGCAGCATCTTTGTTCATCAGGTGTTTACAGGTTCAACCCTGGGGGGCCAGGGAGATGGCTTGGGGGAGGAGGGGCGGGCACACACACACACACACGTGTTAAAGAGACAGCTGGGCTAGGGGGAAGAGGGGTGTGTGAGCAAGCTGGACTGGGGGAAAGACAGGGGTGTATGGACCTGGCTTAGGTGGGGGTGAGCTGGGGAATGTGTGAGAGCTGCTGAGAGAGAGCGAGCTGGGGGAGAAGAGGTGGGGTGTGGGTGTGGACTGCCCGGCGCAGCCTGGGGGTGGGAGGTGCCCGCACAAGACGCAGCCCGCCGGTCCATGCCGGAGCAGTACCGGGCCGGGAGGGGCCGGGCGGTGCCACCTGTCCGGCCCGGCGTGGGGTGGGGCGGGGCACTGCGCGTCCCTCGGCGGCCCGGTCTGAAATGGCGGGGCCGGGGCGGGCCGGGCGAGCGCTGCCCGGGGAGGCGGAACGCCGAGCGCACGGATTGGCTCATCCATGCGCTCGGCGCTCCCCGCCTTGCCGGGGGGAGGGGCCGCCCCACTGCTTTCTCCGCCGGACACGCGCGGACGCCGCGCGGGGCCTCTCCCGACTCGCGGTTTCTTGATCCATGCCTTGCCAGGACGACGAAAAGATTAGTCTAATAAACATAATACTGAAAGAAAAAATGAAAATAATAAAGAATAAAAGATTGGTCTAATAAAAATAATAATAATGCAAGATTGATCTAATAATAATACATAAAAATAATAATAATAAAAGACATTATTATTAGACCAATCTTACTATTGTCATTTTTTAAATGGATTTATTATTAGATCAATCTTTTATTTTTTTAATTTTTATCATTTGTATTTATTATTATTTTATTAGACCAATCTTCTTATTTTTTATTTTTCTTATTTTCAGCTATTATTGTTATTAGACCAATAACAATAATAATAATAATAAAGATTGGTCCAATAATATTAATAAATAAAAAATAAGGAAAGATTGATCTAATAAAGAGATCACATTTACCCAAAGAACCTTGTCTGCCTATGTCCTTAGACTGACACCCCTGGGAGCTGAGGAGGCGTCCAGCCAGGGAGCCACAGGGCCAATGCAAGACATTCAGCTCAAAGCCACCCACCCACAGCTGCCCCAGAGCCAGGGTCAGGCATCACAGGTCATCCCTCGATGTAGGGCAGCTCACTGATGGGGCTTGAGGTGACTTAAGAGTCCAATGGACAAACCGAATGAAAGAAGCTAGGCAGACAAGTTCTTTGGGTAAATGTGCTATCTTTTATTAGACCAACTAAATAGCTGGAATAAATTGTTCTTTGCAACCATTTGGGCACCAACACTCTTCAGGCACCTGCAGAGTCTGCTAAGCTAAGCTGTCCTGAGCAGGAGTGTACTTCATCAGGTGTTACAGCATCTGGTGAAGTGAAGTCTTGCTCCTGAAAGCTTGAAAGGATACCATTTAACAACATATTTACACTTTTATTTTGAATTAATTAATCATTCAAGAAAGACTCCTGTTTTTGGCTATGGCCGTCAAGAGGGCATAGGGGCTTTTTACCTCAAAGTGGGCTGCCACTTGGTTGAGGTGGCGGCACTGTTAGTGCCAGTTGGCAAACAGTTCCTGATGTTGACATCCATTTTCTTGAGGCATGCCTTCAACCTGTCCTTGTAGCGTTGCCTGTAGCTGCCATGAGATAAGCTGGGAGTCGAGCACTCGTTTTGGGAGTCAAGAGTCAGGCATCTGTACCCAGTGTCCAGTCCAGCAAAGCTGGTGCTTGAGGATCAGCAACTCCATGCTAGTAACATTGGCTTCAAGGACACTGAGCTCATGCACACAGGCACCCCAAGCCCAACCTGTGCACAGCTGGTCGCATATGCAGGCTCCCATCATGTACTGATTCCACCAAAGCCCTGAGGAAGGGCACATGAAGCCCCAAAGTTTGTCCAACAGCTCTCCCAGATATACAGCTGGCCCAATAAAAGATGTATCACAAAAATGCCTCACGTGCATTTCCAAGACCATGACAGCCACAACAACATGCCAACCATGCCATGAAAGAGCACCCCTCTGCCCCAGGCACTTAAAGGGCTTGGTTCTTCTCTGTTTCTCAGGTTTCATTTGAGCAGCTTCAACACACAATTCCACAAAAATATATAGTAATGTAATATGTACAGTCCTTTCAGAAACTGCAGTTAGGACAGAAAAGCATGGATTGCTTGTTAGGTGGGGCATTTCCCATGAGCACAGGAAACTACACTTGATCTGAACTAAAACCCTGGGCAAAACCAAACCAGAGACCCACGCTGGGAAAGTCAGTAGCCTGAGTCTCTGATGGCCAACCTGCAGCCTATGTGCTATAAGTAGCATAGACAGCCTGTATGTGTCACAAAATCTTAAGTGAGTCCTTTCACCACTAGGCTATTGGCTGTGCAGGGATAGGAAGGGCAGAGTTTCTCCCTCCCCCTCCCTGTCTCCTGTTAAAGGGTTTGAAAAGTCTTATTTTCATTCCAATACATGGAGGATGTATTTTTTTTTCAGGTTTTGTGGAATTGGAAATCTATTTCATGCTCAGCTCTGCACATAATGCTTGGCTGCTTGTTTTAACCTATAAAGCCCTATGTGGTTTGAGTCTAGAGTACTTGAGAGCATGCTTTTCTCCCCATGCTGTCTAGCCATAGCTGAGATCAAAAAAGAGTCTTCAAAAAGAAGCTGATAGTGGTAAGGCATTCCTCTGGAGGGATCCTCAGCTTTGGAAATCATCCTCAAGCTTGACTCCAAGGCATGCTGTCTCAATTGCATTTAAAACCAATCCATTTATTTGGATTTCTGGAAAAGAACAAGGGTTGGGGATACATTCGGGGAAACATTTTGGCCTGATTTTTGTGGTCTATGGGTTTAACAACATTGCTAATTTTTTTATTTCACCTTTTGTCTTTTAATCACAAGCAGCTAGAAGCATAGGGAACTGTTTTTTGTTCATTATTTAAATATATTCAAATAAAAATAACCTGTAATTTAATTAAAATATGTTTAAAACAAGCTCAGATATTGAAATAATTAAAGGTAAGCTTTTGAAAATCTAGTGCAAATGCATCAAAGAAGATGGAATTTGATAAGTAACTTTAATTTATAAAATGTCTTCTGTTTGATTATCATTTCACTAACATGCACAGTGAAAGTTCTGGACATAGGCAAATAAAATGTATTTTCCAAAAAAGAGAAAAGAGTTTGGTGCTGTAGAACTAAACATTTCTATCCACTTGCAACACATTTATCAACACGTTCTAAGTCAATTCTATACTTAGCCTAATCATAAGATGCTAGCCCAGATGAAAAGAAGGTTTAAGGCTCACATGCAACTAAAAAATGCCCATGATAATATGGATCTGAGAAGGTTTGCACTTGGAAAATATCCTAAACATCTGGCGAAGCTATAACTACAGCTACTTACTCTGAGAGAGTATTTCCCTTTCATTTCCATTACAGTTCCAAGATTTGCTCCTTCCTAGACTCATCCAGTTTTATATTAGGCAATAAACCTCATGGCATTCTAAACTGAAGAGCATGGTAGTCTGTTCATCAGCTGGCTCAATGTCGATTACCTGGGGAAATGTTGAGACAAGTCAGATATGCACAAGGAAACCTGAATGATGTCTTGGTTGTGGAACTGAGACACTGTATTTCTCCACTGTGTTTCACAGGCACTTGCTCCCATGCACTGTGATGAATGCAGAATAAATGATGATGCAAGGCTGTGGAGAATTAGCTCACAAAAAGGGAATGAATTTAATGCAGATGAAAGACTGTACACCATGGCCTAAAAATACTGACAAGGAGACTCACATATAAAATAGCAACAAATTCCTGTAGTAGGTATGAGAAGTCAGTTTGTTGGCTACAAATGTCCAACTCGGGATCCTTAAAATTCTAGTTTATTAGGCGGATTGAAAGACTGTAATGAGTTAAATCATAAACCTTGGGGCTGATCCCCACACACACACACACATGCACACACATACACACACACAGTAGCAAGCTACAGAGTCAGGTATACCTATCCTACAAGCGCTGGAGTCTGCCGTCGATGGCCAGTCAAGGCTTCTTTCAGCGTGGTGTTATCATCCAGAAGGGGGTCACCGGCTGGTCCTTCTGGCTGGACAGGTCGGGTCAAGTTGGAGATCAAGAGGGGGCCACTGAGGGTCACTTTTCACTGCCTTTTATCTGTCCCTGGCAGACTTTGGTGACTCCCCAGTTTTCAGGTTTGCCCAATCCAGGGG